AAAACATTCTAGAAAAATTCTGTTTAATACCCGGGGGCAAGCTAGCAGAGACTCTTTGAGAAAAACAAAATCTAGCCGAGATTCTTTGCGGAATTCTATGCACGGAATTTTCAATAGATAGGGTAGTGCTTTGTCACCTCATGATTGCTCCCGAATTTCCGAATTTTTCATACCGAAACCCAGAAACATAATTTTTTAAAAATTCAAAAATCGGCTGCTTAACTTTTCTGGTAGAGGCAAACTAGCAGAGACGCTGGGGGAATTTAAGGCCAGTTAGGGACTTTTTTGGCCAGCTAGCATGGGTTTTTGGTGAAAATGGAAAACGGCAAATTTGAGCTAGGAGACGAAAATGAATTGCAAAAATTTTGAGCAATTTTGAATGGAATGTAGATGAAACATACATTTTTCAAAATGGTAAAAAATCCGCTTTTTTAACTTTTCTGGTAGAGGCAGACTCGCAGAGACAATTTGAGAAATCCGGGAACATTGGAAAATTTTTGGGGGCAAACTAGCAGGGATTCTTGTTGGATTTGGAAACGGCAACTTTTGGAACTTAGTCGAAAAAACAATTGCGAAAATTTCGAGCCATTTTGAATAGAAAAAAGGTGAAACATCAATTTTTCAAAACTACCAAAAAGTTAGCGAGTCCAAGGCTAGCAGAACAAAAAATTCGGGAAGATTTTTTGGGGGCAGATTAGGGAATTTCTGGATATTGAATTACTAGAAACTGTCTAATTTTGGGTACCAAAAATCAGAAGCATCATTTTTCAAAAAAATGAAAAAATTCTAGAAAATTTCGATAGAAATCGAGGGCAGGCTAGCAGAGCATCTTTGAGGAAAATTATGATAGTTTTTAGGGCAGGCTAGCAGAGATTAATTGCGGAATTGCTAGATCAATTATTACCAGAAAATTATCTAATTTTGGGTACCAAAAATCAGAAACATCGATTTGCAAAATTTAAAACAGCTGGAAATTCCTGTTTAATGCCGGGGCATACTAGCAAAGATCTTTTGCGGATTCTGGCCAATCTCCAAAAAAGTCGTGGAAAGTGGATTTTCCAGGGGGTGCCGCCCGATCCAGACAGGCAGCGAAAATCTCATAAATCATCAGAGGGGAGCTCGAGGGGAGAGAGAGAACTCTCCCCCTCTCTCTCTCTCTCTCTCTCTCTCTCTCTCCCACACCCGATGCCGCCTTTGAATTGGCCGGAAAAGACCTCCAGGGCAGGCTAACAGAGACCATTTGTCCTCGGGCAAGCGAATTTTGGCGCAAAGAATCGCTGCTAGTTTGCCCTGCCTTCCTCAAATCTCTCTTCTAGCCTGCCCAATGGCTAAGCTGGCAGCCAGTTAACCGATTCACACTTCCCAAATGGCCTCTGCTAGCCTGCCAGCGATTTTTGGGACCGATTACGCTATGAAAACCTCGAAAAATTGATAAATTTCTAAATGCAACCGATTACGGCATAAAATTCTCGGCTGGCTTGCCTGGCGCTAAAATAAATTATTTATGGATCAAAAAACTTTGAAAGGTTAAATTTTAGAAAAATTGCGAAAAAATGTTTCATGGATTTACACTGAGCACAATCAAAATAATCGCGGTAGTCAATGAAACTGTTTATCGGGTATTTATGAAGTAAAGAAAAGCTTTGGAAAACCCAGAAAACCGCCAATCTTTACAGTTTCAATTTCCATACGATTTTTAAAAGATTTCCAAAAAATGTTTCACGACTTTTCCAGGTCCAAAATCGGGCCAGCGCAATAATCATACGCTGCTGAACTTTTCCAAAAAAAAAACGGAAAACGTCGGAAAAACCAATTTCCTTAAATAATCTCTGCTAGCTTGCCCTGGGTTAAATTGCAAAATTTATGAAGTCAAAAGTTTGAAAATTAAAAACCACCAAAAATTTCGTATTAAGAGTTCAAAAAATGTTTCATAAATTTTCCAGGATTAAAATGGAGCGATTGCGATAATGGAAGCTGCTTTTGCATTGCCAAACAATTCAAAAACAACATCGGAAAAACAATTTCCTCAAATGGTCGCTGCTAGCCTGCCTCCTGGGTAAAATCGCAAAATTTATCAAGTCTAAAAAGCTTAAAAATCAAAAAAATCAACAAGTTGGGATTTTTAATGCTTCAAAAAAATGTTTCACAACTTTTCCGAGAATAAAATGGAGCGATCGCGATAATAATTTATGGGTTGCTGAGCAAAAAATTCAGAAAATCGTCGGAAAAGCCACTTTCCCCCAAATGGTTTCTGCTAGCTTGCCCCGGCGTAAAATTGGGTGATTTATAAAGCTAAAAGTTTTAAAAATTACAAAATTAAAAACCAAATTTTGGATTTTTAAAGTTCCCCAAAAAATGTTTCACAAATTTTCCAGGTCCAATCTAGGGCCAGCGTAACAATAAAAGATCCTTCACTATCAAAAAACCCGAAAAAATGCGAATAATTTCGAAAAATGATGCTTAGAAAAATGACTCTCCCTCGTTTTTCCCAAGAAAAAAATATGCTTCGAAAAATGGTGTAAATGCCCAAAAAATCATAAAAACAATTAAGAAGAAAAAAAATTTCAACAGATCAAATTCCTCAAAAATCGCTGCTAGCCCGCCCCAAAACCCATTTTTAAAGGCCGGTTGAAGGCAAAAATTGTCAAAAAGCCGTGTCGTTCCCAGGAAAACATAAAAATTGTAAAATAATTTTAATGGATAATAAACAATTCAAAGAATCTCTGCTAGCCTGCCCCACAAAATTAAAATTTAGATTTTAAAGGCCGGTTGAAGGCAAAAATCGCAAAAAAACGATCGTGGCTTCCAGGGGGGAATCCGGAAAATGTTTTGCCGATCAAATATACGGAAGGGAGGGGAGGGGAGGGCGTGTGAAAAAGGGCAGCCCGATTGGTCAATAAAATGCACAAAAACGGGGGGGGTGATTATTATGCAGGCGCGAGAGAGAGCGAGAGAGGGAGAGAGAGAGTGAGAGAGAGAGAGAGAGAGAGAGACAGACAGACCGAGCGCCAGAACCCAATATTTCCGACGAAAAAAAAATTTGGCACCCAAAAATCATGGCCAAGTGGCTATTGGCCGCGCCTACCAATCTGACGACCCGGGTTCGACTCCCGGCCGCGGCGGACTTTTTGCTTTTTGCTCGACACTTTCGGAATTGGCTAACTGGCAGCCAACAAGCCCGTTCCAGGCTTTAAAATCGGATTTTCAAACAATTACGCGATGTTATTAGGGTCGCGAGTTCGACTCCCGGCCGCGGTGAACTTTTTGCTTTTGCGACCATTTCGAAAGTGCGAATCGGTCCACTGGCTGCGAGTTTAGCTAAAACCAGCTAGCGGAGGCAATTTACTAGCGTAATCGACTAAAAACTAATTTTTAAAGATTTTTGCGCATTTTCTCGCGTAATCGATTGCAAAAGTTGGGGCTAGGTAGTAGAGACCATTTGAGAGGCGCGAATCGGTAAACTGATTGCCAGTTTGCCTAATGGCAAGCTAGCCGAGACCATTTGGCAATGGAACAAGCCCAAAAATCGGCCGGGGGGTCGGCTGGCCGCCCATCGGAAAATTCGCAGCGGGGGGCTGGGCAAATACAATACAATCCAAATCACGATACACGACACCCGTCCAGCCAGCGTGTCAGTTCACAAAAAGCAGCCAGCCAATTTTAACATTTTCGGGCAAAAAGCAAAAATTTTCGCCGCGGCCGGGAGTCGAACCCAAGCCCCGGATAACATCGCGTAATCGGTTCGAAAGCAGATTTTAAAAGCTGTAGCGTGCTTCCCGACTGCCAGTTAGCCGATTCTGAAAGTTTCAACCAAAAAGCAAAAACTCTGCCGCGGCTGGGGGTCGAACCCGGGTCTTCAGACTGGCAGGCCAGGCCACTAACCACTCGGCCACGGTTTTCGGCGTTGATTTGTCGACAAAGCGATTCTTTCCACTTATCCCGGCCGCCGGATTTTTTTTCGATAATTCCAAAAAGCCCAACAACTTTATAGGCGTAATTTAAGTGGAAAAACTATCGTAAAAACCCCAAACAATTTAAAACTTTTAAATTTTTGATGGAAAATTCGGTATTTTTCAGGTTTTTCTCTCTCTCTCGCTCTCTCTGTCTCTCTTTCCTTGTCTCTCTTCCAAATAGCATTTTCTTCAGAAGATCCCGGGCGATGGTCGGCGCGACGAAACGATACGATAGCACTGTGCGCCAGAGTAGGCGTTACAAAAACCGAATTTTCGGCTAAAACGTATTTATTTCCCATGTGTGGTGATGATGTAAAGGATAATGACACGCGGCTATAGATAGGTAGGGCCAGAGAGAGAGGGACAACACAGAGGCCAGAGAAAAAAAGGGGGCGGTGAAACTGAGCAATCGGCGAAATCGGCGAAAAGTGTTGCGGGGGGGGGAGGGCGAAATTGGAGAGAGAGAGACCCAGGGAGAGCGAGAAAGAGCGAGACAGAAAAAAACAGAAAAAGCTCACACTCACCAAATATTATGTGTGGATTGGTCAGCCGGTAGGGGAGGGGCGGGGGGTACTGGTCTCTTAGCGGGGGAGGGACGCGGTTTTGACGGCTAGCAAGTTCCAAAAGATTTTTCAAAATCAAAATTTCGAAAATTCATCGTTTTCCTATTTATAACTTTTTTTGTAAACTTTTTATACGAAAAACTGGATGAAAGACGATTTAAAAATTTTTCTTTCCGTTGCTTGCTAGAAACCCGTCAAAATATTTCAAAAATGGAAAAATTTGCATTTTTTTGTTTCATATTTTTCGCCAAAGCGGAAATTCGTCGAAAGTTTCTAGGATTGTTTGATTTTTAGCTAAAAATGCATAAAATTCGAGAAAAAAGCCCCCGCTAACAGCCCAGTACCCCAAAACGAGCAGAGGCCATTTCGGGGGGAAAAAGACACACAGAGAGAGAGAGAGAGAGAGAAAAGACACGACAAGCAACCGAGAACGACGGGGGGAAAAGGCACAACAAAAATGTTTAAAAAAACGAAACGCGGCCTAGGCCCAATTCTGTCGGGGGCTACCGCCACCGCCGCCACCCGCCAGAATCGAGATATTTGATGGGATGGTGGTGGTGGTGGTAGAGGGATTGATGATTGTTGTAGATGAGGGCAGATTCGTCGAAGATGGAGCACGACCACCGCCACCAGCCACCAACTCGCCCATCTCGTCCGTCTCCAGCTTGGCCGCCTTCGCGTCGGCGAGTACCCTGAAATGGAGAGAATTAGAGAGCGAGGGAAAGAGAGATAGAAAAAGCAAAATTTGGCCGCAACCCGTGGCCAAGTGGTTAGTGGCCTCGCCCGCCAGTCTGACGACCCGGGTTCGACCCCCAGCCGCGGCATAGTTTTTGCTTTTTGCTTGAAAATTTGAGAATTACGAAACTGGCAAACGAGAAGCACGCTGCCGCTTTTAAATTCCTGTTTTAAACCGATTACGCGAAGTTATACGGGGGACGGGTTCGACTCCCGGCCGCGGCGAAATTTTTTGCCCGAAACTGTTGGAATTGGCTAACTGGCAACCAGGCCCGTAGCGGAACCGAAATTTCGAACCGGAAATTTCGAAAAATAGCAAAAAAGCGTTTGCTACACTCAAATTCGTGTGAAAACACCACAGAAAACGCGCCGCAGGCGAAAATTTTTTATGAACATTTGATTCTCCAATGAAAAACCAGCGCCGCAGGCAAAAAATTTTGAAAAAATAGGCTTCATATAAGTAAAAACTGTTTGAAAAACAGTAATAAACAGCGCCGCAGGCAGAAAAATTTTTGGAACTAAAAATCATAAGGGTCCCCCCTTATGAATTTTCGGACCTCGACCGATTTCGGGGGGCCCAGGGCCCCCTGGGCCCCCCCCCCCCTCCTACGGGCCTGCTGGCAACCGAGAAGCACGTTCCAGCTTTTAAAATGGAATTTCAAACCGATTACGCAATGTTATTAGGGCCGCGGGTTCGACTCCCGGCCAAATGTTTTTGCTTTTTGGATTTTCTACAGCGATTTTTTGAGAAAGCGAGAGAGAGAGAGAGAGAGAGAGAGAGAGAGAGAGAAACAGGGAGAGAGAATGAGAGAGAGAGAGAGCGACGTACCGTTCAAACTTGATCCACTCGTCGGACTTGGGGCTGTAGAGGTTCTCCTGCAACTCGAACACGTTCACCGTCCCGTGGTCGTCGCCGGTCACGATGAATTGGCCTGGAAACAACGGCTTTAAAGGCACCGGAAATGGACGTACCATTGAGGGAGAAGGCGAGTTTCCGGCCCTGCGCCTGTCCGTTCTCTTTGTCAATCGGAATCTTGGCCACCGGTCCCTCGATGTCCTCGTTCAGATTCCATAGGCACAACTGCAACAAAAAAATAATAGAAATCCTTACAAAATCATTTACATTTTTTTTTAATTAAAATTAATCTTAAAACATTACCAAATCAATTTAATTCCAAAAAAGTTGAAAATTTAAAAATTAGAAAAAGACTTAAACTAAGTAAAATTTATAGTATTTTTACAAAAAAAATTTCAATTTTTCAAAAATTAATATAAATTTTTAAAAATAAAAAACATCACAAAACCAATTTAATTCGAACATTTTAAACCGGCAATTTAGTTAGTTAGCGAACTATTATTTAGTCTAAATTAAAGTTAACTCAATAATAATAAATATATATTAAAATCATGCTACATTAATCAAAAAACAATTAAAAATCTAATTCCTCAAAAAATTAAATAAAAAAATTTAAAAATTTTCGAATTTCAACTTTTCAAAATAAAATAAATTTAAAAATAAAAACGGACCGTGCCATCGGCATCAATGGTGGCAAAGAGGGCTGGGTGGACGGGCGACCACTGCACATCGTAGACGTACTCGGTGTGCATCTCGAACGAGTGCCGCAGCAGTGGATCCTGCAACAAAATGGATTGCAAGAAAAAAATTGGGCGGGGCAGGCTAGCCTCTCCTCAAAAAAATCTACCTGGGCGTCAGGCTTCGATTTGGTTGGGAGAATTGGGAAAATTTCTCTGGAGGTGGTAGGCCGGCCTGGAGGTGGTCAAAAAAAGGTCGCAAAAATTTTTTCGCCGCTTCGCGGCGGGTATTCCAGTAACTATTAAAGACTGTGCTGTTGGTTTAACCTAAGGTAACTGAAAATGGCTAAGGAATGGCCCAAAAACTACTTTAGACCATGTTTTTCGCAGAAGCACCAGAAGCGATCGACAATAACGACAATCGAATATTAACTTTCGCGTTGATTTTTGTAATTGTGAAATAAATATTGTGAATAAATGCTGAAATACTTGTTATTATTCGGTGAAACAGTCAAAGAAGACGGAATGGTGACGGAAAGCTGAGGGAGAAGAAGAAATTCCAAAAATAATTCCTGCTAAATTCTCTACATTCCTATTCACCCACCACTTCAACTTCACTTTCGAGAAATTCCAGACTCTATATTATGGAATGGATAATATGAAAGATAAACAACTCCTTCCTATTTCTCAAATCTTTTTCTAAACTATTCATGTTTCGCGGATCAGTAAACTCTTCTCAGCCGCCTTTAAAGGGACACGGACACGGGACTTTTCCGACCGTAGTTTTCCGGAACCGGTCTGGACCGCCTTCTCACCTACACCAATCGACGCGTCTTGAGCTTGCGCATCCGACTATACCCATGAAAAGCCATGAAAACTTCGTTAGACAACCTCCACCCCCCCGATTTATGCTAATTTTAGGCCAAAAACGCAGTTTTCCGGCCACCGATTTCCGGAATCGGCACGGATCAATTTCTAAGCTACACCAATCGATGCGTCTCGTCATTACGCATTCGGGGATACCCATAAAAGGCCATGAAACCTTCGTTAGACAACCTCCACCCCCCTTTTTTTGTTTTGGCCCCGTCGGGATTTCTGAAAATTCCGACCAAAATCTCGACCCTAGATCCTCCCCGTTCTCCGGCCTCTGTCTAGTTCCTGATTTCAAAACCACCTCCCTGTGTAGCCACAGATCACATCTTTATCCCCTAGAAGTTTTAGCCCGATCGGTTCGGCGGGACAAAGGATTATTGGGAAATAAAAATTTTGACCTTGGGAGCAAACCTGGGATCGGCCCTTTTAGGTGTTTCCTTAATTCCAACTTTCTTCCTTTCTCCACCATCTCCCATAAAGATGTCGCATATCAGGTGATAGCTGAAAGTCTCCTCTATCCGATGGTGTGCTTTACTTGGCGTCATCTACTTCCTGCTACGATTTATCCGCAAAAAACCCTTGGGATCAAACGTGGGAGCAGCTGAAACCAGGACACATAGGGGCTTGGAGGTTGCCTAACGAAGTTTTCATGGCTTTTCATGAGTATCACCAAATGCGTAATGACGAGACGCATCGATTGGTGTAGCTTAGGAATGAATCCGTGCCGGTTCCGGAAATCGGTGACCGGAAAACCGTCTTTTTGGCCTAAAATTAGCATAAATCGGGGGTTGGAGGTTGTCTAACAAAGTTTCTAGGACTTTTCACGGGCATCACGGGATGCGGCAGGTCAAGACGCGTCGATTGATGTGGGTTAAAAATTGATCCGAGCCATTTCCGGAATTTTCGATCCGGAAAACTGCGTTTTTGGCCTAAAATCAGCATAAATGGGGGGTTGGAGGTTGTCTAACAAACTTTTCATGGCTTTTCATGGGTATAGTCGGATGCGCAAGCTCAAGACGCGTCGATTGGTGTAGGTGAGAAGGCGGTCCAGACCGGTTCCGGAAAACTACGGTCGGAAAAGTCCCGTGTCCGTGTCCCTTTAAAGGCGGCTGAGAAGAGTTTACTGATCCGCGAAACATGAATAGTTTAGAAAAAGATTTGAGAAATAGGAAGGAGTTGTTTATCTTTCATATTATCCATTCCATAATATAGAGTCTGGAATTTCTCGAAAGTGAAGTTGAAGTGGTGGGTGAATAGGAATGTAGAGAATTTAGCAGGAATTATTTTTGGAATTTCTTCTTATCCCTCAGCTTTCCGTCACCATTCCGTCTTCTTTGACTGTTTCACCGAATAATAACAAGTAATTCAGCATTTATTCACAATATTTATTTCACAATTACAAAAATTCAACGCGCAATAATATGTCCAAAACACAAAAAAAATACCGAAATTTTCGCTAATCTACACATATAATATGCCAAAAATTTTTCGCCCGCTTCGCGGCCGGTCTGGAGGTGGTCGGCCCTTCTGGAGGTGGTCCTGGGATTCTGCTCCCACCAAATCGAACCCTGCTGGGCGTGCTAGCAGAGATGCTCAGGGAATTTTGGAGGACAAAAAAGGGCAATCTAGCAGAGATTCTTCAGGAAATCAAAAAAAATCAACCCCGGTCAGGTAGCAATGATTCCCAGGGAATTTCGTAGCCTAAAAAGCAGGGCAATCTAGCAGCGATTCTTTGGGAATTTTCGAAGTAAAACAGGGCAAACTGGCCGAGACGCTTTCGGAATTTGCGAAATCAGCCCGGCCAAGCCGGCAGAGAGCATTTTGGAATCGAAAACCACGCTCTGGCCAGCTAGCAGCGCTTCCTAGGCATTTTTCGCAGCTTCGAATGCCGACGGGCCAGCTAGCAGAGGCAATTCGGGAAATCGAAAACTGGTTCTTTGGCATTATCGGGGGCGCAGAAAGTAACTATACTTCAGATAGAAAAACTAGCTAAAGACGTTGAAAAAAAATCGAAATTTTTGCCGAAATTCGGCCTTTCGAAAACGTAGAAACTAATAATAATTTGTAATAGTAAAACTGGTTCTTTGGCATTATCGGGGGGGGGGGGATTTTTGTGTCTAGAAATTCCTAGGAACTAATAGACAGTGTTTTAATCGGGTTTTTAATCATGTATCTCCGTTTTAACCAGGACAACTATCAAAAAACGTTTAAAAAAGTTGAAAACGTCTAAAAATCGACATTTTTTATATTTTCCTAATAAAATTTTGTAAAGTTTTCACGATTAGCTATATACCTTGATGCTCCACAGCTTGACGCTCCAGTCGCACGAGGCGGAGAGGAACAGATGCGAGAAGTCGATCTGGGCGTTGATGGGTGTGCGGTGGAATGAGACGGCCGAGATCGGGGCCGAGTGTCCCTCGAAGAATTGCTGCTCGATCAGCTGGTTCTCCGCGTTCGACCCGTGCCGGCTCAGCTGAAACGGGAAAAATAAAATATAGCATTAAAAATATAAAATATCAAAATTAAAGTATTTTTAAAATTAATTTAATTATCAAAAAAACCTATTTTTAACATTTCGTAAATAAAATATACGTATAAAAATATAAAATCTAATAACTAAAATATTTTTAAAATTAATTTAATGATGAAAAAAGTCCCACTTTTTAAGATTCCGTGCCGCAAAAATAAATTTTGAAGGGGCGAAATTTAATCGTCAAAAAAGTATTTATTTAATTAGAAAAAATCGTGATTTTTCTTCTACGTCTCAATTAAAATATGAAAATAACTAAAAAATAAATTTCGACAAATTTTCAATGAAATCCGTCAAAAATTAACAAAAAGCCAAAATTTTATCGCATTAAATGGAAAAAATCGGTAAAATTAATTTTTATTTTAATATTAGGCATAAAAATCTAATTTAAATTTGTAACTAGATTTAAATTTCAAATTTAAAAAATTTTCAATTTTAAACAAAAAAAAGATAAAATTTTTTTAATAATTTTTAAATTAAATCCGACCAGTTTCCGAGTTTTTGATTTTACGAAGCACTAATTTAGACGAACATTTTGCAATGGATTCAAAAATTAAATTATCGCAAAATAAATTCCAACAAAAAACGCGAAAAATAGCAGGGCGTACCAGGTGGACGATGCCGTCCTCGGCGCCGACGACGTAGTTGCTGCAGTCGTTGGCCGGGAACGCCATGCACGTCGGGTGGATCTGGAAACGAAAGATCGATGATGGCTGATTTGGTATCAGAATGTCGAAATTCATAATGTCGAAAGTTACATAGGCTAACATTACCGGTGAAGCCGCCAAATCCTAGCCAAAAAAATTTTTTCCACATTCTATTTTTTTATCTTATCTCACCACAACATTTTTTGCCTATTCGGGGACTTTACCGGCAATTTTAGCTTACGGAAATTTCGACATTCCGAATTTCGACATTATGAATTTCGACATTATGAAAATAAGCCATGATGGCGACCGGCAAACTACGGTCACTGGGAAACTATCCGAATCTCGAAAATCAGAAACGCAAAAATATACTTAAAAAATCGCGAAATGCCTGCCCTTCAAAAAAAATGTGTTTCGGTCTTGATTTTCGAGCTCATGATTTTCGGGATTCCGATTATCGAGATTTTGTCGGCAAATCACGGCCACCCACCGATCGGAGCCCCCGATCGCTCTTCGCCGACAGCATCTTCATGTCGACCGGCTGGGCGAGGTTGTCCACATTCCAGCTGCACATTTTCCCGTCCGTCGAGATTGACACCTGCAAAAATCGGGCTTCATTTCCATCGACTACAAAATACAAAATTAAAATAACCCATTTTACATCATTTTTAGACACAAAAAAATTATAAAAATTGCCGAATTCAGGGATTTTCCGTAAAAAATGCATGAAACGAAGAAAAAGCCAAAACATTATTTTTATGTTTAGACTATAGAAGTCTATAAAAAACTATAAAAATGATCGAAATTTCGGAATTTTCAGACAAAAAAACGTATGAAAAGGGCGAAAACACTTTTTAAGCAATTTTTTAAACTTTTTTTAGCAAACGAAAAACACTAAAAAAAAATGATTATGTATATTTTTATCAATAGGCAGGTTTAGCGGTAAAAAAAAGAAAAATCAGAACTGCAAAAAATACTATAAGCTACAAATCCCCGCGAAAAAAAAAACGCACCAAATTGCTGGAGTTGTGCGTGCCGACGACCTGGATGGAGAAGATCGGCTGCGTGTGCGTCATCGTCGACAGGGGCGACTGAAAAAAAAACACATAACCGTTTTTTGCATGTTTGTAAACGTACAAACTTTACAAATTTGCGTTTAAAAAATACAAAAAAACAACGACTTTTGATAAAAATTAGATCTAAAAAAATTTCCAAGTTTTTTCTAATTCCTTTCCGTTTAAAATCAGCTAAAACTTGCTATTAGGTTACTAGGAATTTCTGGACATATAGAAAAAATTGCGCCCCCCCCCCGATAATGGAAAAGAACCAAAAAACGCTAAAATCAATTTAAAAATTTTTTAAAAAAAGGATACAAAACGGCTACAAGCTACAAACTACAAACCCGGAAAAAAACGCACCCGATTGATGGGGGTCTTCTTGTTGAACACGCGGTTGTCCCACATGCAGATTTGGCCCGTGTAGCAGCCGGCCAGCAGCAGATTCGGGTGGTAGCGCGCGAACGCGATCGACGTGATGCGCGACTGCGTGTGGAAGATGAACCTGCAACAAAAAATTACCGTAATGCCGTAGCTTAAATATTTTTATTATTTTTGTAAAATTGTCTAAATTTTTAAAAAATTTAAGTAAAAAATCCTAAATTTAAACCCTGTAAAAACTACAGGCTACAACAGGGCCATAAAAACCCTGGAAACTACAGGCCACAAGCTACAAAAAACGCTAAAAATCTATAAGCTACAGACCACAAGCTACGAAACTACTAAAAACCGTATAAACTACAGACTACAGCCAACAAAACCCCTTATAGACAGGATAAACTACAGACTACAAGCTACAAAAAACCCCACAATCCACCGGCTACAAGGCCATAAAGCCCTTTAGAAAACCCTGAAAACTACAGGCTACAAGCTACAAAAAAACGCTAAAAAATTCAAAACTACCGGCTACATCTACAAAAACCCAGGCTAAACAACAGGCTACAAGCTACAAAATCCGTTCGAAAATCCGTTAAACTACAAGCTACAAAACAAAAAAAAACACATTTAGAAAAAAATATAAACTCCCTCACTCAGCGTTGTCCTTCTTGAACTTGGTGCTGTAGACGGCGAGCACGCCGGCCGGCTCGGACGGCTGGTCCTGGTTCGTGTCGTAGGCGACGGCGAACAGCTCGGGGAACTGCAAAACTGGGGGTTCTGGGCTGATAGCGGGGGGGGCGAAATTTTTCTCAGAGATTCTGTACGGCCCTCTAACAAAATATAAACCATTTTTAGATCCAAAAACAATATAAAAATAATAAAAAATGGCAAACAGTTTGATTTTTTTTGGTAAAATATGTATTCAAAAAAATCGTCGAAAAAGGGCAAAATTTTCGAATTTTCAAAGTTTAAAACAAAAATTTGTTAAAAAAACCGTTAATAAACAGCGCTGACCTTCTCGGAGAAGCTGATGGCGACCACCTCGCGTCCGGCCGTCCACTTGGCGTCGGCGAACGTGCGGCGGTACGTCTGAAATCGATCGATTTAAGCCACAATCAAAAACAGCATTTTTTCGATGAAAACTAGGGCCAAATCCAGGCTAAAAAATCGGGAAAATAGTTTAAAAAGGCCTAGGATTTTTCTCCCATTATGAAACCCGTTTGTTCGCTGAGAACAACAAGGCGAAAAATCTAGCTAAAACCGCCTAAAAATCCCGCAGGAATTCCAAGACTTTAAAAGACGTTAAACTGCCTAAATTAGAAGTCAAAATCTGGTTGAAACCGTCCAGAAAAAACCCCAAAAATTTTCGATAAAATCTAAAAATTGCCATAAGGGCTTACTAAAGCTAAAATTCAGCTAAAATAGTTTTTTCAAAAAAAAACGTTTAAACGTACAAAATTCAAGCTAAAAGACGTTTTTAAAAATTCTAGGAATTTCCTAAAAATCTTTTTTCTTTTGAAAATTTCCTTTTTCAAGCGATCAAAAACAGAAAAATCGCCGGCAAACGGACCAATCGCTCGACGACGTTCTCCTCCTGCATCGTGTCGTCGGCGGCGTAGTCGGTGAAGACGCGATCGTCTTCGGTGATGGCTCGCTCCAGGATCTTCGACGCCTTCCCGAAGAACGCCTGCAACAAAGCCGAAATTAAAACACGAATTTTTAGATCGAACAAGCCCCTAAAAAATTACAACAAATTTCGAAAAATTTGCGTTTTCGGCAAAATCTATGAAAAACGCGCAATTTTTCGCATTTTCAAAAATTTCAAATGTTTTTATTACTTGCTAGGAATCAAAGTTTTTTCCAGGGAGCGAATTTTTGCCATTTCAATAGAGGGAGTGCTTCTAAATAAATTTTTTCTAATCATAAACGAAGAAAATCCTCCCTTTTCATCAAAAATTCAAAAAAAAAAATCGATTTTTGATCACAAATAACCGATTTTCGACAAAAATTGTTGCAGTTTTTTTGATTTCAGCGCGTTTTAACCACCTTTAAAGTGGCAAAACTCTCCAAAAAAAAACGTTTGAAAGTCGCAAATTTGGTCATTTAGGGTTTTTTAATAACTTTTTAAAAAAGGGGATACCTGGAAGGCGAGTGTGGTCATGATCTGGTGCTTCTCCTCCTCGGACAGATCGGGGACGCGCTGCTCCTCCTCGGCGGGGGCCTCTTCGGCCGGTCGACGCCCGAACCCGAGCCGCGTCAAGATGTTGTGCTCGTCCGGGGACCTGGAACGGGAGAATAAAATTGTAAAATCGCTGGGACACGCCGGAATCGACCCCCCGGCAGGGGCTAGACCTCGACAAACACAAAAGACGCGAATTTTCGCCCCCGTCGAGACCTAGTCGCCGCCAGGGGGTCGATTCTAGCGTTTCCCAGAACTTTTAAAACTTGAAAAACCGAAAAAAAGACAGCCGGCATGCATTTTAAAGGCGGAAATTGTTAGAGAAACGTGCAGAAAGACCGGAAACGCCGAAAATCAGTTGCAAAAGCGTTAGAAAAGGTTTTAGAAAGCCCGCAGCGTTGAATTTACGCCAAAAAAAGTGCCAGGAACCCGAATTTGGGCAAAATTCGACGCTCGGGGCTTCAAAAAAGCCAGAAAAACCGAAGGACGACATGCACAGGCGGACACCCAGAAGCACGAACACCACCGCCTCCTCCTCACCCCGAGCTGTCTAGCCGATGCAGCAGGTGGTAATCGCTGGAAAACACGCAAAATTGGAACGGGGGCGGAAATCGGCGGAAATGGCATTTTTCTTCAAATTAATGAGGGCGAATTGACAAGAGGGGAGCAAGAGCAGGAAGTGGGGGAAATCGTGAAACTACCATTTTTTGGGCAAAAAGCATTGGAAACTAGCTAAACGGCATCATAATAAATTTTTAAAGCCTAAAACCTTCTGCTAAAGCTTTAAAAAACTAAAATCATTTTTAGAAACGTTCAAGAAAGTTTAGCTAGCCGAAAAAGTCTCCAAAAAGGTTGGTGAGTAAAAAATCACCTCAAAAACGCAGGAAAACGCTAGGAAACTATCATTTTTTTACACAAAACAAGCATTGGAAACTCTCTAAACGGTATCATAATCAATTTTTAAAGCCTAAAACTTTCTACTAAAGAATTCAAAAATTAAAATTAACCTTACAAACTAGGAAAAGCTTTTAGTTAGCTGAAAAACGTCTCCAAAAATGTCGGTGAGTAAAAAATCTCCTCAAAAACGCAGGAAAACGCTAGGAAACTACCATTTTCTGGGCAAAAAAAACACTGCAAACTCGCTAAACGGCATAATAATAAATTGTTAAAGCCTAAAACTTTCTGCCAAAGCTTTAAAAAACTAAAATTAACTTTATCAACGTTCAAGGCTTAGCTGAAACTCCTAAAAAGCGCAGAAAAACGCTAGGAAACTATCATTTTTAGACAAAACAAGCATTGAAAACTCGCTAAACGACATCATAATCAATTTTTAAAGCCTAAAACCTTCTGCTAAAGCTCTAAAAAACTAAAATTAACTTTAGAAACGTTCAAGAAAGTTTAGCTAGCCGAAAAACGTCGCGAAAAACGCCGGTGACTAAAAAAATCTCCTAAAAACCGCACGAAAACGCTAGGAAATATCGATTGTCCAAGGGGCGAAAATCGAACAAAAAAGAGTCCAGGAAAACCTCAGAAATGCTTTATTTTTCAACGAGGAGGCCCGAAAAAGCGAGCGAGAGAGAGAGAGAGAGAGAGAGAGAGTGAGAGAGAGAGAGAGAGAGAGAGGAGCGAGTGATACCTGTCATCGTGCGACTGTCTGTAGGGCATCATGTCGTCGTCGAAGCACAAATCTTGGCTCCCATCAGAGAAGTCGGCGTGGCCGATGCGATCGTCGTCCGTCTGCGTCGTCTTGCAGTAGATGGCCTAGAAATCGGGAAATTCCCACATCTTCAACCAGTCCAATACCGAGTCCTTTTGGATGGCGATGCTCGTCGGTTCGGTGATGGTGAGGCTGATCATCCGGGACGTCGTGCTGGCCAGCTGCGATTTCGGGTGCGCGAAACCGTTCTCCTGAAAAAAAAAACAATCTATACGCTTCAAAACGCGCACAATACGGTACTGGACTTTTAGCGGGGGTGGGACGAATTTTTCCGGGTATTTATCGCATTTACACACCTTTTAAAACTAAAATGCTTCTCAAGAAAAGATAAAAATTTTGACATTTCTGAATTTTTGGCCAAAAAGTCACATTTTCCGAATTTTCGAAACGTATGAAATAATTTTTGCAGCTTTGTAAGACTGATAAGCCACTTTAAACATGATCTACTATATATAAATTTCTAATGTCCGTGCGCCCGTCCGTCCAGGAATTCAACGTGCCCCCAGGGCATGTCCCGGGGAGAGGGGGCCGTTCGCGCATTAATGGTAGCAGAAATCCCCAAACAAAAGAATAATTGTTTCGCAACGGTTTTTATTGATTTATTTAGTATTAAAAAATTAAAAAAGGGAAACAACTTTCTTTCAAGGGTGTTCTAGCCATTACGCGTTTCTTAGATGTTTTTAGTATCTAAGAAGGGGAAATAACTTTCTTTCAAGGGTATTCTAGCTATTACGCGTTTCCTAGATGTTTTTTTAGTATCAAAGAAGGGGGAATAACCTTCTTTCAAGGGTATTCTAGCCATTACGCGTTTCCTAGATGTTTTTTTAGTATCAAGGAAGGGGGAATAACTTTTTTTCAAGGGTATTCTAGCCATTACGCGTTTCCTAGATGTTTTTTTAGTATCAAAGAAGGGGGAATAACCTTCTTTCAAGGGTATTCTAGCCATTACGCGTTTCCTAGATGTTTTTTTAGTATCAAGGAAGGGGGAATAACTTTCTTTCAAGGGTGTTCTAGCCATTACGCGTTTCTTAGATGTTTTTTAGTATCTAAGAAGGGGAAATAACTTTCTTTCAAGGGTGTTCTAGCCATTACGCGTTTCTTAGATGTTTTTTAGTATCTAAGAAGGGGAAATAACTTTCTTTCAAGGGTGTTCTAGCCATTACGCGTTTCTTAGATGTTTTTAGTATCTAAGAAGGGGAAATAACTTTCTTTCAAGGGTATTCTAGCTATTACGCGTTTCCTAGATGTTTTTTTAGTATCAAAGAAGGGGGAATAACCTTCTTTCAAGGGTATTCTAGCCATTACGCGTTTCCTAGATGTTTTTTTAGTATCAAGGAAGGGGGAATAACTTTCTTTCAAGGGTGTTCTAGCCATTACGCGTTTCTTAGATGTTTTTTAGTATCTAAGAAGGGGAAATAACTTTCTTTCAAGGGTATTCTAGCCATTACGCGTTTCCTAGATGTTTTTTTAGTATCAAAGAAGGGGGAATAACTTTCTTTCAAGGGTATTCTAGCCATTACGCGTTTCCTAGATGTTTTTTTAGTATCAAAGAAGGGGGAATAACCTTCTTTCAAGGGTATTCTAGCCATTACGCGTTTCCTAGATGTTTTTTTAGTATCAAGGAAGGGGGAATAACTTTCTTTCAAGGGTGTTCTAGCCATTACGCGTTTCTTAGATGTTTTTTAGTATCTAAGAAGGGGAAATAACTTTCTTTCAAGGGTGTTCTAGCCATTACGCGTTTCTTAGATGTTTTTAGTATCTAAGAGGGAAATAACTTTCTTTCAAGGGTATTCTAGCTATTACGCGTTTCCTAGATGTTTTTTAGTATCAAGGAAGGGATATAACTTTTTTTCAAGGGTATTCTAGCCATTACGCGTTTCCTAGATGTTTTTTTAGTATTAAAGAAGGGATGAACTTTGTTTTAAAGGGTATTCTAGCCATTACGCGTTTCTTAGATGTTTTTTTAGTATCGAAGAAGGGGGGATAACTTTCTTTCAAGGGTATTCTAGCCATTACGCGTTTCCTAGATGTTTTTAGTATCAAGGAAGGGAATAACTTTCTTTCAAGGGTATTCTAGCCATTACGCGTTTCCTAGATGTTTTTTTAGTATCGAAGAAGGGGTACAACGTTGTTTCAAGGGTATTCTAGCCATTACCGGTTTCCTAGATGTTTTTTAGTATCGAAGAAGGGAGATAACTTTCTTTCAAGGGTATTCTAGCCATTACGCGTTTCCTAGATGTTTTTTTAGTATCAAGGAAGGGAATAACTTTCTTTCAAGGGTATTCTAGCCATTACGCGTTTCCTAGATGTTTTTTTAGTATCGAAGGAAGGGGGAATAACTTTCTTTCAAGGGTATTCTAGCCATTACGCGTTTCCTAGATGTTTTTTTTAGTATCAAAGAAGGGGGAATAACTTTCTTTCAAGGGTATTCTAGCCATTACGCGTTTCTTAGATGTTTTTTTAGTATCAAAGAGGGGGAATAACTTTCTTTCAAGGGTATTCTAGCCATTACGCGTTTCCTAGATGTTTTTTTAGTATCAAAGAAGGAGAATAACTTTCTTTCAAGGGTATTCTAGCCATTACGCGTTTCCTAGATGTTTTTTTTAGTATCAAAGAAGGGGAATAACTTTGTTTCAAAGAGTATTCCTAGCCATTACGCGTTTCTTAGATGTTTTTATTATTAAAGAAGAGACTTAACTTTCTTTTAAAGGGTATTCTAGCCATTACCAGGTTCTTCTGTTTTTTATTCTTGAAGAAGGGTGATACATTTGCTTCCAGGGGGTGTTCTGACCATTACGCTTCACTTCTATTTTTGTTGAGGATCAACTAAGGATGTGGAGTTTCTTTCAGGGGGCATTCTGAGGAGGGACAGGCTATTTGGTTCTGAACATGGCCGTAGGCATATTTCGAAGGGTATTCGCGCCAATGGGGAAACAGCGGGAAAATGGGAAGCACCCTGTAGTGCCTTGCCCCCCGGGAGGGCCAGTCGATAGCAGCCGCGAAGCGGCTGTTATCGACTGGTCAAAATACATTTTTTTATTAACTACAGGTAAGTGGGGAAAAAAAAACAAAAATTGGTTCCCCCTGATGATGCGAAAGTTCCCAAAAACAATACGTTTTAAAAAAGCTAGAAAACTCTATACAACTATATAAATCCATGCGAATTAGAAAAACAATCGAAAAACCACCGAAAAACTTCAAAATTTCTCAAAAATTCGAAATTTGGGTAAAAACCGTCATTGTTGGCAGAAAAATCGCCAGTTTTTCTATTTTTAATACAAATCTTGTAAAGTTTTTACTTATAGGGATAGTAGAAAACAGTTTAGAAACAATTCCGCAACTTAAATTTCAAAAAAAATGGGTCCCGACAAAGTTCTATCCCCCTGATAGTGCCAAAGTTCCCAAAAACAAGAAGCTTTAAAAAAGCTAAAAAATACCTTGGTGGCGGCGCGCTCGTCGTCGGTGCCGTGGCCGGCGGGCTGCTGGGATGGCTGGGTGGTGGTGGTGTTGGTGGAGGAGGTGTGGGTGGGCACGCCGGCGTCGGCCAGCAGCCCCTGCAGCTCCGCGTCCGTCAGAGTCGCGCGCGGTACGCCTGGAATTGAGAAAATGAAGTTTTAAAACTTATAAAAAGCCCAAATAACTACGGAAAACATTTAAAAAGCTTTAAGACCCTATCCCCGGCCCGCCAGAACCTTTATAAAGCTCAAAATTTCGAAAAATAGACTTTTCAAAACCGGCAGAAAGGGTAGAACATCGAATTTCGCTTTTCAAAAAATGCAAAGAAGCCGCTTGACTAAAAGGAAACTTTTAAAAAAGCTTAGAAAGTTGATTCCAGCGTCTTGCGTCTTTTCTAAATTCGAAAAATAGCGAAAATAAAGTCATCAGGCCATAATGCTCGTTAGAAAAACGTCGAAGAGCCTACGCGCAACTTTCTGGCCCCTAAAAACTATCCCAAAATCGATCTCCCGCCAACTTTCGTCGATTTTGCCGCTTTCCTAATGCTCGAAAACCCGAGAAATTCGTTCAATTTCGTTGTAATAAGCTGTAAAAACGTCAAAATTATCCTAAAAAGCGGAAATGACGGCCGAGAAAGGTAAAACAGGTTGTTGGGCTCATAAAAAGTACCGTTGGCGAGGGCGGCGGCTTGTTGCGGGAGGATGGTGCGACGGCGCTCGTCATCGGCACGTCGCCTAGAAAACAACCAGTAAGAAGAAGCCCAAAAAAACAGCGTACCTTCCCTCCTTGGCGAGGGCCAGCTGCAGCTTCTTCTCCTGGAGCAGCCGCTGCCGCTCTTCGCGCGAGATTTCCATCTGGGCGCCTGGAAAAAAAATGGACGTTAAATGGGCATCCGGAAAACTGCATCGAGATGAAGCGGAAAACGATGTAATCTACTCAAAATCACCGAAGTTTAGTGAGAAAACTAGTGACTAAAGCGAGAAGAAGCCGAGAAGCCGCTAAAAAAGCGGAGAAGCGCGTTGAAAAATCCTGATTTAGCTTTTAAAATCTAAAGTGAGAGCGGAAAAGTTTTATAAGGGAAGTTTGGGCACGAGGAAAAGCTCAGAATCCTAAAAGGGTCTAGATGAAGCGGAAAACGATGTAACCTACTCAAAATCACCAAACTTTAGTGATAAAACTAGTGACTGAAGCTAGAAGAAGCCGAGAAGCCGCTAAAAAGCGTAGAACCTATGCGAAAACCGATTATTCAGCTTTTCGAAGGTAAAAATGAGAGCAGGAAAGTTTAATGGGGGAAATTTGGGCACGAGGAAAAGCCCAGAATCCTAAAAAGGTCTGGATGAAGCGGAAAACAATGCAATCTACTCAAAATCTTCGGATTTTAGTGGTAAAGCCGGTTTCTAAATCTAGAAGAAGCTCACAACATGCTAACAGGCGTAGGACATATATGAAAAATGCTGATTCAGCTTTTCGAGGGCAAAAATGAGCGCGGGAAAGTTTAGCGGGGGAAATTTGGGCACGAGGAAAAGCCCAGAATGCTGAAAAGGTCTAGATGAAGCGAAAAACGATGCAGTTTACTCAAAATCATGATTTTCTTAGCGATAAACCAATAAAGAATCTTCAAAAGCAGCGCAGGGCCCATTTGAAAAATGGTGATTCAGCTTTTAGAGGGTAAAAATGAGAGCCGAAAACGTGTTTTTAGTGATAAAGCCAATTTCTACAGCTAGAAGAAGCTTAGAAGCTGCTAAAAAAGCGTAGAGCCTATGCGAAAAATGATGATTCAGCTTTCCGAAGGTAAAAATGAGAGCCGGAAAGTTTAATAAGGAGAATTTCGACACCAGGAAAAGCTTAGACAACCTAATCAAAATAAAACCCACGTGTTTTAGTGATAAAGCCAATTTCTACAGCTAGAAGAAGCTTAGAAGCAGCTAAAAAAGCGGAGAGCCTATGTGAAAAATGATGATTCAGCTTTTAAAAGGTAAAAATGAGCGCCGGAAAGTTTAATAAGGGGAATTTGGGCAGCAGGAAAAGCCCAGAATTCTCAAAAGGATTTAGATGAAGCCGGAAAATGGATGTGGATGATGGGATGGCGAAATTCCGGGGGGCGGCCAATAAGCCCCCGTTGTTCGCCTGGTTGCCTGCCCCCTTCCGGCCACTGGCCCTCTCTCTCGCCCCCAACCACCACGACAGGGGCACCCTATAGAAAGCAACCCCCAGGGTCTTGCCCGCGAAAACGGTGCGCGCCGCCCTAAAATGTGGATAATTTATGGGGTTGCTGGAGTTTACAGGTTATAAGACAGTTTATTGGATAGAACGAGAAATTCTGAACAGGATGAGGCTTCTAAAACGCCGCAATTTCAAGGGATTCGAGTAAAACGACCTGGAAAATCTAGGGAATTCGCGCGCCGCCCTAAAATGTGGATAATTTCAGGGGTTTCTGGAGTTTAAAGGCGATGAGATAGCTTATTGGATAGCGCGAAAAATTCTGAACAGGATGAGGCTTCTAAAACGCCGCAATTTCAAGGGATTCGAGTAAAACGACCTGGAAAATGTAGGGAATTCGCGCGCGGCCCTAAAATGTGGATAATTTCAAGGGTTGTTTGAGTTTCAGGCGCTCGAGATAGCTCATTGGATAGCGCGAAAAATTCTGAACAGGATGAAGCTTCGAAAAAAGCCGAAATTATCAAGGGACTCGAGAAAAACGGATTAGAAACTTCCAAACACTAGCGCGGTTTCCTGAAACTGTAAAGTTATGGTATCTGAAAACTGCTGCCTGTATTAAAAACGCCCAAACCGAGTCCAAATTCTCGAATTTTAATTGATGAATGCCTTAACCGATTTTTTACTAAAAATGTCGACCTTTTTCAATTTTTTAAAGACCGTCAGAACGATGAAATTTCGTTAAAAGCAAGAAAGCCTTGCACCGGGCGGGGGTCGAACCCGCGAGGGTTCGCTCCACAGTCCGAGGCACTAGCCACTATACCACAGGGCCAAGTGGGGAAGGGAGTCAGAGGCGCCCCAAACCCCAGAGCCCGGCCTTATCTATTCCGGGAATATTCCGGGAACGCCTCTTATCATTCCCGGAATCTCCCTGAATCTCCCGGAATTAATTCCGGGAATGATTCCGGGAATCGATTCCCGGAATGCGTTTTCATCTATTCCGGGAATCCCGGAATAGATTCCCGGAATGCCATTCCGGTAACCCATTCCGGGAATCAATTCCCGGAATGATTTTCATCTATTCCGGGAATTTTAGGTAAATTCCCGGAATGTAATTCCGGGAATAATTTTGTTAAGGCTGGGCCTACCCGACCAAACGGTCGGGTAACCATTCCGGGAATCTAGGTGAAACACCACCAAAATTCCTGAAATTTTCACAGTAGCTTAAAAGGGGCTTCATTAGCTAATATACCAAGTTTCAAATTAATCGGGTAGTTCCCAGCGAAGTTACGGAGAATTTACGAAGTTAAAAAATTGAAAACTTTATTTACCGGCAGGAATGCTATTGGCTACCTCTTCATACAAATACTGGATTTTTTTTGCCTTTAACAACTACATTTTTTAATTCGAGGAATTTTCAAGTGTGTGAATTCCGGGAATGTGCTGAGATTCCCGGAATAGATGAAAACTATTCCGGGAATGCATTGCGGGAATCGGTAAAAATATTCCCGGAATAGTTTTCATCTAATTCCGGGAATCTATTGCGGTAACCGTTCCCGGAATAGGTTCCTGGAATAGAGATGAAAATGATTCCGGGAATGTTTTTCCCGATTCCCGGAATGATTCCCGGAATTATTCCCGGAATAGGTTCCCGGAATGATTCCCGCAATAGATAAGGCCGGGCTCAGAGGGCCTTTACCCGATACGGGGTACCACTAATGACGCCTCACTCCGCGCGTTCTTGGGGGCAGCACCCTCGGGGTGACAGTGCGCGTTCCATCGTTCTGGTAGTCTTTAACATTTTTGGATAGTTTTTCTAGTTGAAATATTGCTATATTTTATCCAAAAACACAATTAAAACACTTAAGTGACTAGACATTTCTAGATCTATACAAAAATTTCGATCTTCCCCCCGCTAACAGTACAGTACCAAAATTCATCCCGGCCCCGGTTTTGGTCAAATTTTTTGGGTTCTCGCTTTTTGCGGGGATCACTTTTTTTCCACCTATACCTGTCTATGCAATTTTTGCGTATTTTTATAGTGTTTTTAGTAGTTTTTGATTGCTAGAAAGTCATAAAAATATTTTTTTACATGTTTAAAATTCGAAAATTTTGACTTTTTCGCCATTTTCATACATTTTTCGCCAAAAAGGCATAATTTTTGGAAATTTTTTAAATGTTTGTATTGTTTCTCCATCTAAAAACTTTGTAAAATGCCATAAAAATGGCTTATATTTTGTTAAAGGGCCGTGGAGAATCACCGGGAAAAATTCGGTCCCCCCCCCCCGCTAACAGAACAGAACCCGTGTTAGCACAGAAAGCGTCTTTGCACATTCACACAGAGAGAGAGAGAGAGAGAGACAGGGGGGCCCAGGGTTTTTTGTTGGGCCAAGAACCGGTAGCGCTTCTCGCCCCGCGCGGGGGGATCCGGACCCACGCGCGCCACTCGCCACCCCGGTTTGTGGCCCCTGAAATTTGTGTCTGTCTGTCTGTCTGTCTCTCTCACCCTCTCTCTCTCGCTCTCTCTCGCTCTCTCTCGCTCTCTCTATTCCTCTCTCTCTCTCTCTCACTCTCTCTCTCTCTCTTTCTCCTCTCCCTAGATTTTCAGAGTTCCACACAAAAAGCAAAAAGCAAAACATTTGCCGCAACCGGAAGTCGAACCCGAGGCTATATTACGTTGCGTAATCGGTTTCAAACAATTTTATAAGCTGGAAAGCGCGCTCTGGCTGCCAGTTAGCGGATTCTGAGAGTTTGGACCAAAAAGCAAAAAGTTTGCCGCGGCGGGGAGTCGAACCCGAGACCCCCTTATTACATCGCGTAATCGATTCTCAATCCTACTTTAAAAGCTGCAGCATACCAAGTGGCTGCCAGTTAACCGATCCTGAAATTTTCAGCAAAAAGCAAAACTGCTGCCGCGCCCGGGGGTTGAACCCGGCTCGCCAGATTGAGAGGCGTCATCACTAACCACTTGGCCACGTTTCTCGGCGGAAAATTTTGCGGAATTTTGGGGGAATCGCCGGCAATCTGTCCCTTAATAATTCTCAATTTTTGCCTTGTGGGAATTTTGTAGCGTAACCGATTTGGGGGAGGATTAGCTCGCGTAATCGATTCCGAAATTTTGCGTGAAAATCGGGGGGTTTTAATATTTTTGCGGTTTTTTTCGGGTAGCTCGCCAATCTGGCTGCCAGTTGGCCGATTTCCATGGTCTAGAATTACCTATCGTAATCGGTTGTGGGCGTCCGCTTCTTGGTCCGCTTCCGCGTATAGGCCCGAGTTTTTGAGTTGTCTGACTGTCTGTCTGTCTGTCTGTCTGTCTCTCTCTCGTCAGCTTGTTCACACGCCCTGCCCTCAGCAAATACCGTAGAAACAGGACGGATAATGCCCCCCCCCCCTTGAAAAGACCAAAAATTAGGAAAAAGCCGAGCGCGCGAAACTAGACGTTTTCAGGGGATGGCCAGCGAGCGATGATAGGCCGGTGAGGGCAGAAAAAGTGCACTACAGTGGAGGGCATTCAGACATTCAGACAAACTGACAGACAGACAAGCCGAAAAACACAAGAAAATCGAAAAAAAACCGGGGGAAAACGATAATCCAGGTGCAAACAATGTGCGTTTTTCCAATCGATTACGCTAGGAAATCCCAAAAATAGTAGTGATAAGGATAGACTGGCTGACAGACAGACAGAAAACCGAAAAAA